TTCTCTTCTCTGGATGAAAGCAGATTTTAAAAAGAAAAGCAGAAAGAGATGGTGAGAATACAGAGTAGGAATGGTGCTTCCAAGATCTGATGGAAATAATATTTTAGTGGTCTAAGCATCAGGATTAAGTTATTCTGTCTGTCTCTGGGAACAAAGGTTGAAAATCTAGGCAGAGTTGATTTCATTAATGGAGTTTCATGTAATTTACTATCTTCATTTTTCAGCCAAGACCATGGAAAATATGTTCTTTAGCAGTAGTGGACTGAATGGAGGTTATGAAGGATCTTGTTACAGTCAGTCAGTGTGGTTTGCTGCTACTCTTGTGGAACATTCCAAATACTAGGTGATTGCTTTTGTCCAGCCCAAAAGTATTGCCATTCAGTGGTGGAGTATGCATGTAATCTGTAAAATACTTCAGTATGAAAGGTGCTGAATTCAGTAGAATTCACTTTGAATTCAGCAGAACATGACAGGAACTACTACTAGGAAGGCTGCTCCCTTGTTATTTAACAGTTTGGACAGCACTGGAATGGATGTAATTCATGACAAACAGTGTTGAGGTATTCTACTGGGTATGCAACTGCAATTCTTAGTTTTCACATGGTTGTCGCATGCAGTTTTCCTTGATCATTATTATTGCTTAAACATAAGTAATACAATAGACAAAATACGTACAAGGCATTGTTTGGGGCCTAATTTAAAATGCCTTTTTATTGGAATTTTGCTTAAATTTAAGCAAAAATCCTAATTTCTCAAGGAAAATTAACAATTACAGTACTCTAACACCAGCATAATGCTAGTTTAAAAAAGAACATGAAATAAATTATGTCCATTGCTCTGACAACTTATTAATATTATAAATACACTGTTGGAAACTAATTCCTTCTTCGCATGGACAGTTTTAGATAAATTGGTTACAGACCCTAACTATAGGTTGATAATAAAATATAATCTAATATTTAAAAACAAGATCACAATTGTCTTATCACATGAGCAGGTGCAGTGATTTAATAAGAGTTCTTGTGTATGTAAAGTGATCAGAGATTAAACTTGAGAAGAGGCTTTTGTTTGTTTTGTTTTGTTTTGTTTTGTTTTGTTTTGTCTGGGTGTTTTTTGATGCCGGAACGACTTTTTGTGATTATCTAGTTGACTTCCTATAACACAGGTCAAAGTACTTGCCTGTACTAAGTCCTTTTTCCCTAGTAACTTTCAAGTAGCTCTTGTTAACATAATGATTTTTTGGACTCTTGCAAATATTTTTGGGAATATTTTCTAAGATTCAGGTATTATATTGATATGCTTACTAATCAGTGACAGTCGAATATTAATGTTTGCTTCATAAGCACTGAAGATGCATATAGATGGCCAATTAGAAATCCAAGAATGTTTAGGTGTACATTAAGACAGAATTTTTTCCACCTTCTCTTATCCTTTTGCTTATAGCCATTTCTATCATTTTTATTCTACTGTCTAATATAGCAGGTAACAAACTTCTTCCATAATCAATGCAATGTTGTTTTCTGAATCTGCTTATAAACGGTATGCTAAAGAATTGTAGCCAGTAGCATGTCCCCCAAATTTGACACTGTGTATGTGTAATTTCTGTGGCATACTGCTGCCTGGTGCCTGCAGTCTCTACCACAAAGATCTGCCTTGCAGAGCTTGTCATTTTTGTCTAATACACTGCCACTTTCAGAGGTCTGCCTCAACAAAGACTTGTTTTCAGTGGGATCTATCTTATTGCTGCAGAACGTGGCCTTAAGGAAACAAAATCTCTCTTTGGCGTTGTGAAAATAAGCACAGCTACCTAATTATAGCACCATTTCCAGTTGAACTTACTTGGAACGGGTAAACTAATGTGGTATTTCTTATGGGAAAGCGGGAACATGTGGGGAGTAAGAGACCAGGGGTCAGGTGTTCTGTTCTTTCCTCTGACACTTAGCTTGCCATGTGACTTTAGAAAAGCCACTCAGTTTTCTCCTTCTTCAGTTTCCTGATCTCTAAGCATGAGTGAGATTTTCTTATTGGCAAGGGGGCATGATGAAGCTTAACAAATCTTTGCAAAGCATTTTGAAATTCTTTGGTAAAGAGGCATTTTAGAAGTGCAAGCAATCCTTGTGTATTGACACCTAATATTTTTTAGATATAGCTTGCAGTTGGTAATTCAACAAGTTTTAGATTCAGTCATGACCATGAAACAAAAAAGTTAATTTCCAGGCAGTATTGCTTAGATAGATAGCTGTTGGCTTTTGACATAGCCCTAATTTCATAAAGACAGGGCAGCTTTTGTGACAAGAGTCCATGCAGAGGTACAACAAGCTTCAGTGGAACTGAGGAAAGGAAATTGGGGGTGAGAACAAGTGTTTGCGGAACCTGGCTTAGGTTTTAGTGGCTTAGTTTGAGCTGCCTAAATGTGAGCCAGGTAGCTACATGCAAGTGTTCACCACTTGCCAGGAGGAGATACAGGCAGCCAAAGGCAAGTAAATCGGAGAGAGGGTGGGCTGACAGGCCTCGGAGAGTAGTGCTGGCAGATCCAGGTGGGGCTTGTATATCTGCAGAGGTGGCTGGAGAGTCCAAGGATGGGATGGGGGGCTGCCCAGTCTGGGTGGGAGCTAGTTGGGAAGGTAAAAATAGCCTTAACAGGGTCAGGGGGGTAAAAACAGCACAGCCATGGGGCTGTGGAGAGTGGCCGGGCTTTCCCTGCCCCCGGGCTATGCTAGGAATGGGTACAAGTGTTCACTAGGTCAGGTTAACCCATTTTAGGTTGGGTTAATCCCTTACTGAAGAGGTCTGACAAGAACTAACTTTAGATAGGGCATGCCATTTTTAGAGCAACTTAAACCATGACTCAGTTATCCAGGTTGTAGCTGTATTGGTCTAGAGGCAAAAGAAATAAAAACTCATGACAGAGGTGATATCTTTTATTAAACCAACTAGATATTTGCAAAAAAAAATTATTTGAGAGCACTTGTAAACCCAGCCATTTAGATTGCTTGGTTAGGGCAATCTATACTGGGATGTGTGCGTGCACCCAGATGAAAAGTAATAAAGCTTGATGTTAAGTACTCAGGTAAAAATGCATTTATAGTACACTTCTTATCTAAAGCTACTAAGATTAGGAACCAAGTTAACACTACCCCTGTACAACACTGGTATTTGCACATACACACACCACACTTATTAAGTTGGCTATGATTCTTCTAGGTCAGGGGGCCAGTCAAGCCAGGAGTGCAGACAGCTAAGCATTAAATATGCACCAGTCTGCTATGCCTCAAAATAAATCTCTTTTTGGCATATACTTAGCATAACACTAAACTACCTATATTTCTGTTTTATGAGGTTGCACACCCAAAGGGAACAAGACCTGCTTCACTATATGGCTTTCTGGTATCATAGTGAGGTGCTACATGTTTACCCAGGATAGAAATTTTAAACCAAAACAAAATCCTAAATTGTAAAATTCCCTTGAGATGCCAAGATGCCTTGGTTTTTTTTTTCTTAATTAAAAAAAAAGGACTTTATCAGCCAGTCCAGGATGCTTGGTAGCTTTATTCTGTCCTAAAGCTTTGCTAGTGAACATATATGTTCTAAAACCAGTAATTACTTGGGGTTTGCTTCTTTGTTTTGTCTGTCTGTTTTAAGAAATGTGATTACATGACTCTAGCTAACCCAGTTCATTGGTAATTCACTTATTACCATGGTATCTGGCAGGACCCTAGTATTTTCATTAAGTTAATAGTACACATGATCTTAGAATTTGCTCCCCAAATTAGATTTACTCAGGTCCATATATGTTAACTTCTAAGCATTACATGGCACTGACAGACATTATAGCTCCCTGCTCTAACTCATGGTTCTTCACAGGAAGCACCATGAGTTACAGCGATTTCCTCTCCACCCCCCAATGCTACAGACATTCGCTGTTCAGTGTGGGTTGGGTGGGGGAGAGGTCCAGTTTGCAGCGACTGCATATCTGTAGCCTCTCTCCCCTAGCCCTGTTCCCATTCTTCCTCCCTCCCTCCCCAGCTCTGGTGCTGTCTTCAGGATGGAAGAAGGGAGGGAAGGGAGCTTTGTCTGGGGTTTTTCCAGCCTACACTAGAGGGTGAGGTGGGTTGGATTGGATGGTCTGGGAGACATGGGTCTTGTCCCTATGTGCACAGGGTGGGAGAGCTCTGCAGCAGCAGTTGTCTCCCAGCCGATGCACATCAGGACCTTTCCCGATGTGTACAAGGCCAGGACACAGCTGCTGCTGCAACTGATAATGCTCTCCTGGCCCCATATTCCTTGCCACCCTCAGCAGACCAGGGTGGGATCAACCCTGTACTGGGCTGCTCCCATTGGGAGCAAATCTGTGCTGTAGGCTTACTGTGCAGTATTTTTTCTGCGCAGTAAGCCTAGTTCAAATTAATAGCATGCGTAGATGCGCTGAGGATGGTATCTCATGGACTGTCATTTAAATGGAGATTTAACCTGCTCCTGACTAAGTTGTGAACTGATAAGATCACAGTGAAAGGTACTATGTTTCTGTAAGGAACAGATTTTAAATAATAGAAATTGAAGTCTTAGTTTCAATGAATATGGCCTAATCAATTTCAATCAACTATTTAAGTGTGAGATTTTTCAATGCTAGGTGTTGGCCCAGTTCTGTTTCCATTGAAATCAATGGTAAATATTCTGTTCCATTTGGGAGCAGAGTTAATTCAACAATGAAGGCATTATATTAACCAAAATAATAATTTTCTTATTTTGTCAAATTTTTATTATTCTTTTTCATTTTGTTGTATTGTTTTTAAAGTCCCCAGTCTCCGGCTGGAAACAGACATCACCTTTCTGCCACCAAAACAATTTCTATGGCAGCACAAAGGCCAAGCAATCAGATATCCATGCCCCTTGTCTCAACAGAAATTCCCCAAAGTGGCTTAGATGCATGTGGTATAAAATTGTATCGTTTTGCCTTTTTTTGCAGAGGATGTCTGTTTGCTTTATGGCATAAGAACATGGAAAGCCCAAAGCTTATCTAGAGATCTTTCAGACGCATTTTAATCTTGCAGGTAAGAAGTATTATTTTGTAGTAATTATTCTGATTAGCAAAATAAGGCCATAGAAAAGTATATAAATATAATAGCAAAGTATTTAAATCTGTACTCAATTTTAAGCACATGAACAGTCCCATAAATATCTTTCCTTAAAATGACCTTGGTGTCAATTGAACTATTAGCAGGTTAAAGTTAAGTATATGTTTAAGAGCTTTGCATAAAAATACTAATTTTTGCTTTGTTTTAAATAACACTGCACTCTGTCATAGCTCTGCATTTCCATACAGGTTTGTGCAAATTAAATCAAGCTGGAGGCTAGAGTACAACATTTTAGCACAGCATCAAATGGAATTTACATTTTCAAGTTGGGGTGCTAATTAAGACCTTGCAGATTTTATAACTTTATGTTCAGTTTTGAAGAAGGTCTATCAGAATAAGCATAATGAAACCTAAGTGCTCTAAAAAGCTATTATGGTTCGTTAACTCCATAATAGAAATTAGCTCTCAAAAAGCTTTCTTATTTTTTCCTACTATTGCTTCTACCTTTGCTGTGTTCTTCTTTCAAATACTTATAGGACATGTCTATACATACCTATTAACACACAGCTATAAGCTCCAGAGCTTATTGCTGCCAGGTGCATGTCTGCACATGTGCTTGGGTCGCAGCACATTGAGCTGGGTCACAGCAGTCCCAGCTGGCAGGGAGCCTGGGGGGTCAGCTTGCCAGCCTAGGGCTGCTCTGACCAGGCTCAGTTTGGTGTGGAGGGGTTGGCTGGGGAACAAGAGTGCTGCAGCAAGGAGCTAGCTAGCAGGTAGCCCCTGCACTGAAGCATCCTCATGCCCCAGCCAACCAGACCAGCATCTACACATGTGCTGTTGCACACAAAAAAAACTCTGGAGCAAGGTAGCACTTATATTTTTTTTACCCATTTGCAGAGTTTATTAGTTGTGTACGACCTAATAGGGCCACACATGTAAATGCTGAGACATTTACTGCACAGTTAACTAGGCAACTGTGCAGTAAATGTCTCATGTAGACGCATCCACAGGTACCTACTTTGGCCAAAATGTTCTAATGGAGTTCCTAAAGATAAATACCTTTTAAATCCCTCTATTATACGTGGCTCAAACAGGGCAGATTTTATGAAATTCTGAGTACCACGTCATCCTGTCCACTTAGTTTGGGTACTTCTGGCCTTTTGAAAATGGGTTTGTTTATTTATTTAGGCAGCTCATTATGAATTTCAGCACTCAACTTTTTTTTTTATCCCACAGTAGATCTATAGTGCAAAATTCAGTGCCATGCAGAGAAAGCTGAGGCAAGTCTTAAATGTGCTAGCTTTGGTACTGGAAACTGGGGCTGTGCCAAATTTCAACTGGTGTTTCGTTTTGAAGCTATTTCAGTGCATTTTGAGCTCAAAACAGCAAAATCAAAACTAAACGAAAGGCTTTAAAACAGCATCAAAACAAAACGAGGGCACTTAAAACATTTTGAAAGTTTTTCAAAATGTTTCGAGTTTCGAAGCCAGACTTGCTTGAGGCTAAACAGAAATTAAGGAGGGGGAAGGACTGTCTGATATTTACATCTAGCTCCCAGTTTGATTCCCCAGCTCTCTAATCGCCTCCCCCAGCTCTCTGTCATTTCCCCAGCTCTTCCCAGGGGGTGCAGGCCCCCAATCTGCAAGCGGGGTTTCAGCAGGTTGCTGCTGCAGGCTGGGGCCAGTGCCGCTTGGCACAGTGTGCACCAAGCACTGGGAAGATTTCAGTGCTGCTGCTGGCCCCAGCCTGTAGTGGCAGCCTGCTAAACCAGGTGCACAGATCTAGGGCCCCAAGCCCCACAGGAAGAGGTGGGGGAATGAGCTGGGGGCTGGGGAATCAAGCTGGGGGCTGGGGAATTGAACCAGGAGTTGGAGAATTGAACCGGGGGGCACTCTGCTATGAATGCCCAGAGGCCCCAATTGCCACTGCCAGGGCCAGTGAGTGCAGGGGTTTGGGGGTTTGTTTTTTTAAAGCTCTTCACACCAACTGTGGAGCATGCAGGTGACAACAAGATGCTACTGCCGGCTGGGGCCAACGCCAGCTCCCTAGTCTGCCTGGCGCAACCCGTGCCAAGCGCCGGGAAGAACCCAGTACTGGCATTGGCCCCAGCTGGCAGCAGCAGCCTTCTGTCATCCCACACGCAGATCCAGGGGCCGTGCCCCCTGGAAGGGCTGCAGGACTGTGCCAGACTCCTTCCAGGGGAAGCAGGCCCCCGGATCTATGAGCAGGATGACAGCATGCTGCTGCTGCTGGCAAGTGATACTAGTTTTGCTTTGAACAGTTTGAGGTGCAAGTTCACAAAACTCCCTGCACCTATCTCCTTAAAACTTGGCAAGCTTCATGCCCTCAGAAGCAGCTATCATCCTTGCAGTTTTCATCTGAATCAGGCAAGAAATGATAATGTTATAGGCATTTTTATGATTCCCCATTATAGCCTATGAGCGAAACATTGAAATGCATCAAAACAGCATTGGAACAGTTTCGACAAAATGAAATGGAACAGTGTTTTGAAACAGCAAAGCAAAACACTGTCCCTTTGAAATGGTGAAACGGAAATTGAAATGAAATGGTGCTGATTCGCACAGCCCTACCGGAAATGGTGCAGCTGCATTAACATGGCCCTCCCCTCAGTTGTTTAGCATTGCTTCTCAGCAGGACTATGTCATCCAGGTAGAGTGCTCACTAATGGAATTGCACTGCTTCTCATATCCAAGCCTGCTTGTTCCGAGTTAGCTTGGGCCTAAATGGCACTGCATTATGCCATGTAGATATACTCCAAGTTTGATCAATCTTATCTCGCATCCGTTCCCCCTCAGACTGCCTCAGACTCTTGGGTGTTGCTTTGTTCATGAACTCAGCTCTTCATATCGATCCTTGTAGTCAGTTTCCTGCCATCTCCTCCACTTCTCTCAATTTGTCTAATTTTTTCATAGCTCTGAACAGCAACAAGGGTACAGACAGAAGTGCAGGTCTCAGCTGTAACTCAGAACATTTTCTGCAAAGTGTTCTGAGTTACAACATTACTCCAGACCAAACAGAAGTTCAAGGTTGGTTCCAGGGGGGAAGGGAATCTAGCTGTGGGCTGGGAGCCTACAGCGAGGTTTCCATAGCAATGGTCATAGCTCTCTGTCAGTGCCTGCTTTTTTCAGAATGGGAGGGGGAAAGGCAGCAGAGGGAGCTCATTCTTAGGGCTCCACAGCCAGTGCCCACCTTGGAGTGGGGGGAACTCCAATACACCCACCCCACCCTCCAGGGAAGGGCTGAGAAACACCCAGACTGAACTCCTCCCTCCGCTGCCTTTCCCTGCTCCCATTCTGAAAACAATGACAGGCCGGGAGCTCTGCAGTTGTAAGTTACAGAAGATGCTACATTTTGAAACATCATTATCTGATCCCTCATGTAATGAAGGGTCAGATTTTCACCAGATTGGCCATTCTGGAAGCTATTTGCAGCCATGTACTTGTGTTTGGTCATGGCTATAGGCTGCTTTCTGTGGCCAGATCAGTCACTTCTGTCTGCACCCCAAATAAAGGTCCCAATAAATCCCGCAACACAACCCTTACCCTATTGAATGCAGCATCTAAGAATGGGGTATAGGTTGTAGCCATGGTAGCCTCTAAGAATGTACATGAGCACATGAATTTCAACAGGCCTTTATTATGCTCTTAAGGACTGTGCTGAATAGGGGCAATATATTGAATTTGAGGCCTACATGCTGCAGAACATGGAAAAGTCTCACCAGACTTTTAGGCCAGGTTTAAACCACCTCCAGGGCATGCCTGGGAGCAGGGGAAAGAAACATGACCCTCCCCATTTTGCACGTGCCCCAACCTGCCAATTAGGTTGCATAAGCATCTTGGTTCGGTCCTGAATATACACCTCAGCATTGTGCTCAGGTTCTAATGAGACAAAGAGCCTGAGGGCAATGCTGAGTCACATACACAGGACTGCTCTAAGCCATCATTTCCACAGCCTGATTTGCAGGCTTGAGCACACTCAGTGCTGATGTGAACAGGTGGAATCTTCTTGGCACTATACCTTGGCTTGTCCTGGAGGTGGTATAGACATGACCTCAGACTCTTACATCCCTGTTCTATGATGTCATCGTTTTTGAATACTCAGTCTAAAATAGCATGGACTTTTTGGAGGAGCTAATAGTATGTCTATGTACAAGGGAAAACCTCAAAATATTTAAGAACAAAAACACGGTATTAAAAATTAAACACAAAATTAAATGTAATATGTTGGCTTGTAGTTAGGAAGCTCATTGTTTATGATAAATGGAATGTCTGTGTGTGTGTTGGTACAATATCTGGAAACTCCATCTTTCACTCCTAGTATAAGTAGATTTTAATGATCTCTGGTTTTGGTCAATAAGCTTTGATGCAATGTTTTTGCATGTGCATTTGTCTGTGATAAATGGTGTGATACTTTTTATTAGATCCATGTGCATGTTTGCCATTTTTACTGTTTGTGGGGTAGGTGGGCTGGCAGCCCTGGAAACTAAACTTACCTCCTTTAGTTGTAAAACAGCTGCAGTGCTACAGACTTCCTCAAACACCACAGCAATGTGTTTCAGTCTTGAGCTGAGAGGTATCATTTCTAGTGGTAAGAAGGCAGTTTCCTTTTGGCATTCAGTCTTTGTTGCTTTTGGGACTCTGTAACAGGGTGGCCTGTCACCTTAAAGGAAGGCAGCTAGTTAGACTGAAGGGCAGCCACTGTGGGGAGGTGAATGAGGGTGTAGCTCACTGGGCAACAAAAACCCCAGCAGGCAGAACCAGCACCAGAGGAAGGAGACCTCTGGGCAATGAGGAAAACAAGCCTAGGAAATAATGCAGGCTGCCTGCTGTGGGCTTGGGGCTCCCTGCCCTGCTGCCCTCCCCCTGGGGGCTCCACAGCCCAGTGGGCAGGACCCAGCACGAGAGGGAGTACCGCACCACGCCATCATGGCTGCCAAGCTAAGGTGCCCCTTGCCCACCCAGCAGCAGTAGAGGCAGAACTCCACGCCGCCACCACTGCTGCACCTCACCTTGGCGGCTATGACAGTGCAGCGCTCCCTCCTGCACAGGGTCCCACCTGCTGGGCTGCAGAGGCAGCTTCTGCCTGGAGCTGGTCCAGGCCCATTGCAGCCCGGCACCCTGCCATGGGTGCAGAAATCTTGCAACCCCAACCACTGATGTTGCGACCCCATTTTCTCACGGTTTGGGAACCACTGCAGTAGGGTGTTCAGATTTAGTTAAGACACTTGTTCTCTTGAAACTGGACTATAGCTACTAATTACTTTAATAACAATACAAAGGCCTGTTCTTATCTGGCTTTGTGTTGTATGGAAGTAATTCTTCTGAACTCAGTGGGCATACTGCATGGAAAGTCAATATAAGACAGATTACAGTCATACCCTACACATTTCAATAGAAATGTTTTCTGCCCTCCCAAGATCCATCTTTTACATCTATGTAAGAAAATAGTCTTGCTCAGTGGGTTTGGCAATAATATTGTCTATATCTTTTCTTCTCTTCCATAAGGGAGACAATGTTTGACTGGATATTCATCAAAACGTATTAATGCAGAAAAATGTGGGAGGTGATATGGAGGCATAATTATTCAGAAAATAACCCATTCTCATTTTGTGTGACACGGTAAAGCCTGTTTTTGTGGGAGTTCTAAATCTTTAATTCTTTATAAACCTGTGTC